TCTGAGGGGTACAGACGAATTTTCGGGGGAGAAGATGTAGTGCAGGGACACGCAGAAGGTGGCAATTACGACCAATGTGCCCCCAGTATTAATACCGGGCCGCACCATCCGACATAGCCCGCCCGCTAGTTCGCAACCAAATCACAATCCTAGACGCCCGAGCCACTCTCCTGCGAAGCTTAGCCACGCAGTGTTCTCACCCGACAAGAAAGCTATATCGCGTTGTGTACAGTCGTCATCCGGGCAATGATTAGGCGGGTAAGGGTCGCAGACGCGGCTGCGGCGCGTCACGACCGCGGCGATCAGCTGTTTCCAGCCTATTTAGCCATTTTCTCCCTAATTTTCACTGTTTTTGGCTGCTTTTCTTGAGGTTAGTTGTTCCTTGTCTTCACAAGGTAAATTATGATTGAGATTTCTCTAATTTTTGCGAACAATTAAATAATAAGAAACAATTCAAACAAATACCTAAAAAATCGCAAAACACTTCATTGCAGGAACAAAAAAGAATCTACGTCCCAATGTACTTTTCAAAGACAAAAACTTATCTTGAAAAAAATAACAAATACAGTGAAAATTAGGGAGAAAATGGCTAAATAGGCTGGAAACAGCTGATCGCCGCGGTCGTGACGCGCCGCAGCCGCGTCTGCGACCTTTGACCGCCTAATCAACGGTCCGGATGACGACTGCAGGTGAGAGGATGTAAGGGGCTCTATTCAAATGACTTAGCCGCGCCTATTCTCTCCTTTGATAGCTGGCGCCCCACCACGCTTCAACGCGGTACTCACATTTCTCTTGTGCACATCTCAAAGGAAAAAATACCTACACCAGACCTTCATTGTTGTAACTGAATCGTGAAAGGATCGTGCCAGGAGGAAATCTTTAAACACACGAAACCGCTGAACAGTTAGGACGGGCGGTCAAGACAATCGTAAGTCCCCGCAGTACACGGCTGTTAGTGCAGCTTTTTCTCAGTTTGCTTTAACCTGCCAAGTGGAGCACCGGATGTAGGCTACGACATTGTAGACATTATGGCTATTTTCAGTCATACATTATTTCACTCTCACTACCTACTCCATAAAACACTGTCATTTCCGGGGCGCGACATCGCACGCGACGCCCACCACCACGGCAAGTTAGCACCCCTGTCGTCAGGGAGCGTCCTACCGCTGATGAAAATTTTGCAGGATACGACCCCCTCCCGGAATTTCTGTTCCGGTTCCATCCCCTCACCTACCTACCTACCATATCTCTAAATTTTCTTATGTTAGCTTCCTACCGTTTTTTTTTTCGAGGTTTTTTTCCAAAAACTTGCAGTTTTCACCTTGAAACTGCCTTCAAACGAGGAAAGGAGCTGCTATAGCGCACGAGAAACGGTAAAAAGCCAAAAAAGTTCGATGACCGAAAAGGTTTTCACAAAGGCAAGCACTATGTTTCCCTTCATCAACAAATATGACCCGCCTCAGCCTCTTCCACCCGGTTCGCTGAAGATCCCCGACGTGCCCCTACTAGTCATATATCCGAACTCACCATACTAGCTTTAGAGCCCGTGATTTTGGATTTTGAACAATGAATTGCATTCTGTATAAGGAAATAAAAGCATATAAAGAAACCAACTGACCAACAAAAATGTCCTTCCCACGCATTCTTGCGTTTGTAAAGAGGTTTTCATCCCCACGAGGGAATTTTTCACATCCTTCTTTTCTAAACAGCTGAGAATTCGCTCTTGCCCCTTCCCAACGAATACTCAATGATGACGTGACCTCCTGGCAAAATGCGCATCAACGCTCGAATTAAACGATTGCAGGTCCCGACACGAAGCGCGTGTTCGCATCCTCTTCAACTGGGATAAGAACGCCATGTTTACAACTCATAACTCTTTTGGAATAGCGCTTTGGCCAGTGATGCTCGTTGTGATATCTACACGTGTGGGAGGATAGATTAACCCTCTTCTGATCACCAGGAAGTTCAAGGTCCTTATATCTCATGCGGTCGGGTGATTGGTTTGTAACCTGGCAACGTTCGCTAAACAAATCATTTCTTTCTTAAAATCAATGGGTTGCCTATAATAAGTCTCATCTAACTTCTTGCTGTATCCCGTAACGATCCTTTTTCTGGTGCGTTTCAGTCTGCTGTGTCGGTAAATTGCGCTGTTGTCAAGATCGTTAGCAATGTTTGTCTATCAAATGGTTTCCCGTTCTGTATTGTGTTCGGCGAATTTGTTCTTTGACTATGCTCCGTCTGCTTCAGGTGGACAGCAGACCACGGTTTATTCCACTGTTGTAACCCAGAAATATCAGAGAAGCACTCAACCTCACTCTGTACTTAGTGTTATTTGGCCCTCGCTCATGAAAATGGCTTCCATTTTTGCCCACTCAATCGATTCGCTTATTTGGGTTATCCGTTAGGAGCAATATGTGAGATATCTGTTCTGTAGTATATATCTTACTGCTTAGCCGCAAAGGTATCTTGCAATGGAACAACGATTATATGATGCTTCGATCAATTCGTGGTCTTCAAGAGCGTGATAAGGCTTGACGTTCTTCAATTGCAGACTACCGCGTTCAAGCACCTTATAGTACTAGGACCATTTCCGAACGTGCCAGGATCCCTAAATATAGAAACATCTCACTCTCGAAAGCTTTCATACTTTGTGGCAGCGTTTTGAGCAGCGTGAAAAGCGAAGGTATCGGTTCACCGTTTTAAACGCTCGCCAGCGTTTTTAGCGACTAGGAAAACATAGGTTTTGCGTTCGTTAGCGTTCTCAGCGATAATCGATACCTATGTTTTCTTGGTCGCAAAGTGATGACGAACACTCGAGACGTGAGATCGATATCCATGCTTTCCCAGTAGCTCAGAACGCTGTTGGACGTTCAGAACGCTAACCGATTCCAACACTTTCCTATTCGCTTGCAAGTCGCTGCTAAAAACGCTCAAAACGCTGTCGCAAGTATAAACGCGCTCCTCCACCAGTGACGTATTCACTCGATGTACTGAGCTGTGAGGACCAGTGACAATGTGTGCGATTGGTTGTGTTCTCGGAATCCCCCCTCCCCAATATGGAACGCCTATACAGTTTTTCTAGCAAAGAGATCGTCTTCACGTGCCAGGATTTTTATCAACAACATTGCCATTCGTTGCGTTCTTCTCTGGTATGTTTCTTAGTAAGGCTCCCGGTAGCTGACAACTGGTCTAGCACGATAGGAGTTCGACCGGGTAAATTACGGACGAAGAACTGAGCCATTTTCAAACCTCCAAAGTTGGCTGAACCACTTTCAGGCCCCTAAAGGCGGCGACTTGTTCGAGCAGTCCCATTTCTATGGGAGAACCCCTATTTTTCGAGATTCGATCGTGGCATTTATTTACGCTTAATTGGTTATAATGGCACCATTGGTTCTGAAGAGGGCCTTTATGTCAGTGCATATGGGCTGAACCTTGTTATAGCGCCGGTACCGAAAATCAGTGTCTTATTCGTGATAAGAGCACTTGAATAACCCACGCACATGGATCTGGAACTTTTTCGATGGAAACTTTACGGCATCAAATGGCGTCGATGAACGGGAAATGTCATATTCATGGTCCAAGTACCGTTTTACTCCTGCAGCTGAAGTTTCAAAGGATATTTCACTGCTTTTCGCAGTGAAACTATATAGGGAAACATTTTAAGTTCAGTGTTGGGTTGTGCCGTGAATGGTCTTGTTCACAGAGGTTCTTTCCTCTCCCAATACTTTTTCGCTCATGTTGGTTGCGGCCCATTCGACAAGTCTTTTGGTTTGTGAATTTGGTCATTATCGAGGAGGAGAAAAAAGTTCTGTCAGTTGGTACAGGGCCAGTGATTCCTAGCCAGACGTTGTCTTCTGAGTTCTACGTCATTCGACTTACGTCAGTTCGGGATGTGTTCATTAGTTTAGCAGCTGTCTTCTGAGTGACGTTGATTATCACGTGCTGAACAGGAAATGATTTCATAGTGATGACCAAAGATTTGTTATCAAGTGATATGAAAGGAACAAGCAAGTTTTCAATTCTCTCAATGGCCACACTTGTATAAATTGCTGTTCATGGATATGGATGTCCTTATGTTGCGCCTCCTGCTCGAAGTACCCGGCGTCGTTGAGTTTCTCCTTCAGTTTTCTGCTCGTTCTCAACAAAGTTGTATTATCCCTTGTTGGGACTGCGATCAGTGTATCGGTCAAAATCCTAACACTCCTTTGAAGACAGTCTCGGCGCTTTACCAGTTCGTAGGCTCCGATCCTTTCATTGTACAAGTTGCCTGGACCTCAGTCTTTTAGGTTTTCCAGGGCTCGCGGCCTCACAGAAATTAACGAAGGCGCTGCGGCCTTTATAAGAGGCAGTTCTGACGCCTTCCTAGTTGTCCTGCCCACTGAAGTTCAAAGGCAATTTCGGTGCAGTTTGACGATGGGGGGGGGGCGGGGGTAGGGAGGGTCATTTTGCACTTTCGCTACTTCATAAAATAAAAATAAAAACCACAAACAAAAAACATAACAAGTTGCCTGGACCTCAGTCTTTTAGGTTTTCCAGGGCTCGCGGCCTCACAGAAATTAACGAAGGCGCTGCGGCCTTTATAAGAGGCAGTTCTGACGCCTTCCTAGTTGTCCTGCCCACTGAAGTTCAAAGGCAATTTCGGTGCAGTTTGACGATGGGGGGGGGGGCGGGGGTAGGGAGGGTCATTTTGCACTTTCGCTACTTCATATCGGCGTGTCGACCCATCTAGACAGCCTCTTATCGAGTTGACAGGTTGATGGCTAGATGAGCTTGCTCCAGCTTCACAAGAGTTCACAGATTTCGCCAGAATAAGACTTGTAAACCGGAACTAGGGAAGCAATGATAGTACAAAATGCCCCCCCCCCACTCCAACGTCAAACTGCGCCGGCCATTTCTGTCTCGAATTCAATCTTTACACCGTGTTTTCGTTTTTTTTTTCGCTGGTGAATAGAATTTAGCTCTAGTTGACGCAAATAATCGATTAATGATCCAAAGAGTAGTGTCACTTTGTCGGCATAAAACGAGTACGTCCGGAAAACTCGGATGAGGCCTCCGGAAATTTTTATATAGGGTGTTTCTCCATGATTTTTTTGCTTCTTTCTGCCTCGGAGAGTCACGTAGGCCATAGGGTTGTGAATGAAGCCCCTGTCCACAATGCGCATTCGCGAGGTTTGTCTTTGTGCGACTTCGGGTTTCGTCTTCATTTTGTTCTTTCTGGAAGTGTAACCCAAGAACCCGATAACCTGGAAACCCATTTATTATAGTCCTAAGTTCATCTGACTTCAAGTTACGAGAGAACAGCTGTTGCCAAAATGTTCGGCACAAATTTAGTGGCTTGCAGGTCATGATTGATGTCTTTTTAGTAGAAGCAGTTTACTCGCGGACATTTATTTGTGGTGAGACGATCAAAGGCGGAGGTACAGCGGAAACCTGTAGATGGTAGTGGGCTTTCTTCCTATCTTCCGACGGATTTTAGCGTAGGGCACAAGGTGTGCCCACTTTTTACTGATGGTAATGACGCAAAGCAGATTGTTTTGAGAAAAACTTACTTATTCGCGCCCACACACTTCATTGCCACGTCTACAATACTCCCACCCTATAACAGGGTTCTGTGCTTTTTTCATGTGATAGCGCCGACGTTAGCAGAAACAGAAATGAACCATCTCCAGGGTGTACGAATCGCGTTATATGATGATTTTGTCTTAACGCCGCCTAAGTTGCCAACGATGCGTGAGTTTGTGTAGAGTTATGCGAGTCTTCCGAATCAACTCACAAGTGAGCATTTAGTGTAAATGTCTGCTTGGAGTGTAAGCACATGAATGCTGAGTTCTCAGCAAGGCTCATGTTCAGTGACCTAATGGAAATTTTAACTCTCTAATTACCCGAAAAAGGGGCCGTAGCAGTAAACATTCTTGCAAAAAACTTCTGAACGTTTCCATGTTACGCAACATTAGCATACTGATCAGGGAAGTCCGGCAACTCCGTGGAGCTTAGAGGAGACCTGGGTAGATGACTAGAGTCTATAAGGTTATTTACAAATATAGATAGCAAAACTGCAACCTGCATTTCACAAGCAACTTATGAGCAGGTAAAGTTTGTAATGGTGCAGTAAGGTGGAATCTGGTTTGTGGTAGTTCAGTGGTAAGGTTTGATGACTCGATTCGACGTATGCGATTCCTCGCTTATGCTTCACAGCTCACCACCAAGCCTCCACCCTACTGCACCATTACAAACTTTACCTGCTCATAAGTTGCTTGTGAAATGCAGGTTGCAGTTTTGCTATCTATATTTGTAAATAACCTTATAGACTCTATCGATCTACCCAGGTCTCCATTCAAAGTTCCATGGTAAGTTGGCGGACAGCACTGTATCAAAGACAGACCACCGCGCCCAAGCAATTCGTGGTCGTCCTTCCTTGTGCAAGTAGTCCAGCCCACAGTCTCAGAGAGCCCCACTTTCGCGACTCCAGACCGAGTGATAAGGGAGCTACAGCCGCAGAAACATCTAGTTCTAACATCCACACAGTTGGACTACCTGCAAAAGTCCTCTTTACGGTCGACGCTGGGGCGCTCAGTTGTTATTTGTTGGAGCGGCGGGCATAAATCCAAATTGCGTTTGTTGATCGCGCTCGTGCTGAGTAATTCTGCTCTAAATTAGTACGCAGGTGTTTTCGGAGCTTATCTTCTTTTACGAGTTTTTCTCCGGTGTTTTCGCTGTTTTTCGCTTTCTTTTCTCTGCCATGGATGGCATGTGGTACTGAAAGATGCAAAAAAAAACGATTTGTGTGTCGGGGTACGACAGTGACTGCAGAGCCTTGGGTGAACTGGAGAACTCGTACAATGAGTGTACGTGACTCTCAGGATAGCATCACTTGTCAGCTACTGGTTCATAACTGAACACCCGTTATCCGTGACACTTAATAGCGGGAACTGTATTGAAGTCCAAATCTCTGTGCTTTGCTGTTTGATCACGGGTCATCTTTGTCTTTTTACGTTGTACAAACACGTCTAATATTTTTTCGTCTTCACCAATGTTTACGATTCAGTGGCGTGTGTAGTTGAGGCGTGGCCTTGATTGTTGGGACTTTGCCCTCTAAACGCTGGCAACGTGCGGTATCAGTGTGCGGCTCTCGTATGACGACTGCGGTGGTCTGATTTCGCTATCTCGGTTACTATCAAGTGCTACTCTTTGGCCTGTCAACAGCGTCTGGGCGCTGCACGATACTCAAATTGGATACCACCGAGGATTTCAGTCATCTCTCACTCATCTTGTGGATTTGCTATGCTGCGATTTTGATCAGTCAATCAAGTCATCTTTGAAAAGGAGTATCTGTACCTGAATCACGTTTTACCTTCTATACTAGTTATTTATCTGTGTGGCTGAGCAAACCTGTTGTGTCCATCAGCGGTCGGCTCGTTGAGAATTTTTTTCACAAACTTATACTGTTACCTCGTCGTTTCTGCGGGTGTCTCGCGTGTTTGCCGTTGTATTATATCATTCAGCTTTTTGAAGGGTGGATTTGAGTGCTCTTCTCAACTAGACTTGAAATTTGTTTGGACGTAACACTATGATGAAAGACACCGCGGTATGGCTGCACTCACAGAGCAGGTAAGCGTCAAACAGACCAAAAATAAGACAGTCCTTTCATACCAGGTAGAATACCCTTTATTGGGCCTTCCAAGATTGTTTTATGTTTACTTGGCCTACTTTTCGGCCTTTTCGCCTTCTACAGAACCGGAAAAGTTGGGGAAACAATCGGAACCGATTCACTCAGGAAGTGTGCAATCCTGAAGACAGTTTCGCTAGAATAGTAAACCATTAGATAGCTACCGCTTAATCGACGTGTGCTACAGGGCTTATCTTTATCTGCTTCGCCGTAAAGTGAGGTCGGCGAAGGAGATCAAGGTAACCACTAAGTATTAGGACTTATTGAATAATGAGCACAATAGCCCAATGTTCAAAGGGTCAGCCCGTAGTACACTCCGACTGACCGATACTACTGGCTACTGTTCTTTACATTTCTGGAAATTGTCTCCAGGATTGTATAGGTTCATGATGAGAATCGGTTTCAAATGTTTTCAGACTTTTCAAGGTCTGAAGAAGGCGATGAAGCAAAATGCGAGCCGAGCAAACTTATGACAGTCTTGGAAGGCTCATTAAAGGATGCTCGTACTGATACCTAATCCCCGGATTATGTGCATTATACTAATCCCCTCATTGCCAATCACTGGTAACCAGAGGAATCAAGTGTGCAGCTTTGGCACGACCTTTGTTAATTCGTGGAGTGTGTGTGCTTCGTGTCCAGTTTGTTTCATTAGCTGTCGACATGCCTAATCTAACTCCGTAGATCTCACTTACGGTAACCGGTTTGAGCTTATCTTGCTACTTCTATGATGTGATTGTTTTTCCTCTCTGACTGTGACCCTGTGCAGCTTTCTGACAGCTTTCACACATTCATGGTGGAGTGCATACTGCTTGGCACTTGTTATGTGTACTGACTAGTGCAGCTTAGTCATTGCCTTCTTATCAGAGTGATTAATGGACGCTTGATATTCGCTTTCCAAAAACAGTCATATGTGCCTCTTCAGTTGTACAGTGTACACGTAATGTTTTCTGCTGCTGGACTGTTTCGAAGTCCGTAGCCTCATAAGTAGTAACTTGAAATTGTTACTTTTTCAGGAGCTTTGCTGATCTTATCGATCACCTCCTCGTTGGAACATCTGGATCATTTCCGTCATATTTCTCTCTTGCTGCAGCTGGTGTTGTAACCATGGGACTTGGCTATTATCTTTCGAAAAATAACAATGGCAGACTCATTCCGTTGGTGGACCCCTTGAATCAAACCATTGAACAGCAGGTAACGGTTGTCTTACTTTTACCTCGTAACTATTTGCTTACTTACATGTTCGCGGATGCAAAAATAAGAGTTTCCCGCAAAACTCGTGCTTTTGAGAGTGGTTCATACTTTGCGGCAGTGCCTTGAGCGTCTGTCAGCGTCTCAGTCGACTAGGAAAGTGTACCTATCGGTCCATATATCGATTGGAGCCTCCGCCACCGTTCTGAGCGTCCACCAGCGCTTTCAGCGACCGCTATCGTTTCGAGCGCACATCCAAAGTAGCTCGAAACGCTTAAAAGCTGACAAATGCTCGAAATGCTGAAGCAAAGTAGAAGGCACTCTTGGAAATTAAATCTATGGGTGCAAGCTGGGCAAGCGTTGGCGGAAGGACAACCTTACCTTACTAAATGTCAGCATTACGGAAGTGAGAATGACGAGGACTCTGGAACAATAGTGGTTTGGGGAGTGTGTTGCAAATTGTATACGTTGGATGTGAAATCTGTTTTGGGCGTCGTATGGGTCATGGAGGCGCTCGGGTGTTCGATCTGAACAACTTTTTTTTGATAGTCAACCGTTTCAGGCCTGTACTCCCTAGTCGTCGGTCCTTTTCCCCTCGATCCCCTCCTTTCTTCCGCTCGACGGATTTTGGGGTCGGAGACGATTAGCAGTCTGTGAAAATATTTTATATCACGTTGATTTTCTCTATGGTTCGTGGCTAAAAATAGAGCAGCTTTCCGGTGCGACATCAGGGAATGCTTTCATCTTAGAATGAGTATCTGAATATTAGGTTTGAAAAATTGGTTGATAAAAAAGAAAAAAGACAGCTCGGAAACGTTTTTCACCGAACCCCCTCTGTAATGGTTCCGATGAACTGCACGAATCGCCGTTCTCAGCAAAACTGCAATTTTGCAGTCTCG